ATGCACGCGCTTCGCCTCCTTCAATCCTTGTCCTTTTTTTTCCCCCTTCTATAATCTGATGGCCATAATCTTTATCCTGAAACATTGGCACGCCTAAAAAGGAATTTAATAAGAAAGAAACTTTTGCCAGATGAGTTTTGCTCAGCGCCAGAGATATCACGTGATCGGTATTGAATGGTATCGAATGTACGGATGGTTTTATAAAGGACTTTGCTCTAGCCTCGGAAAGATAGTTTTTTAAATAACCGGTAAAGGCAGACTATTTCCCCACTCCATTGAGCACAGTTGACTTACCAGAAGCGTGTGCGATGCTTAGTTCATAAACTACCCCATCACGACATGTTCACCTCAACTATGTGCATTCTAGAACAAACACAAGTGAAACTATCGGTACTGGACTGCTGGAGTCACTTTTTGACAACGATCCTAACGATATATTGTGTTAAAGATAGCTAGCACAGTGTCTGGTCGTGTGGTGTACTGCCAGTGTCTAGCACTGTACTTTTCGTGTGGTGTACTACCAGTGTCTAGCACTGTACTTTTCGTGTGGTGTACTGCCAGTGTCTAGCACTGTACTTGTCGTGTGGTGTACTACCAGTGTCTAGCACTGTAATTGTCGTGTGGTGTACTACCAGTGTCTAGCACTATACTTTTCGTGTGGTGTACTGCCAGTGTCTAGCACTGTACATGTCGTGTACTACCAGTGTCTAGCACTGTAATTGTCGTGTGGTGTACTACCAGTGTCTAGCACTGTACTTTTCGTGTGGTGTACTTCCAGTGTCTAGCACTGTAATTGTCGTGTGGTGTACTGCCAGTGTCTAGCACTGTACTTGTCGTGTGGTGTACTACCAGTGTCTAGCACTGTAATTGTCGTGTGGTGTACTACCAGTGTCTAGCACTGTACTTTTCGTGTGGCGTACTGCCAGTGTCTAGCACTGTACATGTCGTGTACTACCAGTGTTTAGCACTGTAATTGTCGTGTGGTGTACTACCAGTGTCTAGCACTGTACTTTTCGTGTGGTGTACTGCCAGTGTCTAGCACTGTAATTGTCGTGTGGTGTACTACCAGTGTCTAGCACTGGATTAGGCAGCTTCTTTTGTCTGTGAGGTAAGATAGTTATAAGCCGGATTTGAAAACATGTAGTGTCATTTAGGTAGAGTTAAAAACATGTGGGTAGAGTTGAAAACATGTAGGCAGAGTTGAAAACATATAGTAGAGTTGAAAACATGTAGGTAGAGTTGAAAACATGTAGGCTGAGTTGAAACTGTTTCCGACTAACATAATGAGACGTCAGCATTACCGACATAAATATTACAAAGTGGAAACGATCTGTTCATATTGGAAAAAGGGGGGAGGGGGGCGGGCTGCATATGTATTGCTTACCGCTGAGCTGAGACTGATTTCCATAATACTCTCTTGAGCATCGCTGCCTAGGACATTAAAGCAGAGCTATTCTTGCATTTTGGCGAGTATCAGCTAAGAATTGGGCGTTAAATGTGGAAATAGAGAGACAGAGAGAGAGAGAGAAAATGAGAAAGAGAGTGAGAGGGGGCGGAGAGGAAGAGAGAGAGAGAGATTAGGAAGAAATTTGCCGCCAGGTGCAGACTTTGAGTTTGCCCCAAGAGAGACAGAGAGAGAGAGAGAAAATGAGAAAGAGAGTGAGAGGGGGCGGAGAGGAAGAGAGAGAGAGAGATTGGGAAGAAATTTGCCGCCAGGTGCAGACTTTGAGTTTGCCCCCCCCCCACCCCACCCGCCCCCCAACTTTTTTTCCGAGAAACAAATGTTTTTCGGCTCAGTAAAACTTGGAAATAACGAGTCTTAAAATAGCACTGTCCCTGATATATGCGCCAACTCGCCCCGGAACATAACAATAAACTCTGGCTAAACCTGCAAACAGTACAACGTTAACTTAGGCTTTTAATGTTGGAGCTGTAACCAATGTTCACGGAGTATAAGGAAATGCCTCGAAGTCACTTGGATCGGGGGTGGGAAATAAAGAAATCAAGGGCACCGAAAGCTCCCGAACAAAACCGAAGTGCAGGAAGAGATCTGGGGAGGATGTCTGGAGAGGAGGCCTCCAGCCCCCCCCCCCCCCCCCCCCCCCCCCACGCCCGAGAATTGATTGATCAACACTGAAATACTGTGAAATAAAATTTAAGTATTCTTTGACCTGGTAGTTTTAACTCTCCACTTTTAGTTTTGATAGTTACCAAGTATTAATTTTGTTTTATGATATTTGTATTTAATCTATTTAATTTGTTAAACCTTCTTCATTACTAAATGAATTTGTTTGTTTGTGTTTTTTACGTCGGCTTTGCGACGTACCGGCACTTACCAAGCATGCATATATATCTATACTGCTGCTTGGATTCGTCGAGTTAGTTGTGGCTCTTGAGTTATATTGGGATTAGGGCCGAGTTGCTGCAGAAGCGGTTTATCAGCTCGGGCATGGACCATGCATAGACAGGTGTGTGTCTCCATGTTGACTTTACCCAGAGCGTCGTACTACAAACACTATTTATGGACACTACATAGACAGCTGTGTGTCCACATGTTGACTGTACCCAGAGCCATCTTACTATGAACGCTCTATATGGACACTACATAGACAACTGTGTGTCTCGATGTTGACTTTACTCAGAGCGTCATACTACAAACGCTTTATATGGACAGCTGTGTGCCCCCGTGTTGACTGTACCCAAAGACAATAAATCCAAAGTTGCAGAACACAATAAATAAATTAAAATGTTACAGAGATTTAATGAACTCAGTTCATCATCATCATCATGTCCCTTAGTCATTGGACCGTTGGGGCGCCACAGATGACATGAAAACTGCCCTCCTCCATTCCTTTCTGTTTTTTGCACTTCGCACATCATCGCCTAGTTTTAGTCCCGTCCACTCTTTGATGTTATCTTCCCATCTTTTTCTCTGTCTTTCTCTTCTTCCCCCTCCTCTCGTTGTACCTTATATCATTTCTTTGGCGAGCCCTTGTTTTCTTGTCACGTGCCCATACCATTCCAGTTTGCGCTTTTTTACAGTCACCAGGAGGTCATCAAACTGCCCAATTGCTTGACGAATCCTTTCTTTCACTTGATCATTGGAGATATGGTCTATAGCAGATGCCCAGAATGCTTCTGAAACATCTCATCTCCATCGCTTTCTTTTTCAAGTTCTGCTGTTAATGTCCAGGACTCACAGGAATACAAGAAAATGGAGAGGACTAATGAGCGCATCAGTCTGATGTTGGTGCTGGGGGCTATTTTTTGTCGTTCTATGTTTTCTTAAGCCTCTTTGGTGCTGTTGAGGTCTGGGCAATCCTGGACATCAATTCGGGCTTGGGGCCTTCTTCAGAGACCATTGCTCCTAGGTATTTGAAGCTGCCTACTGTCTCTAATCTTTCCTCCCCGACCTTGATTTTAGTGGAGATGCCAGTGGTGTTATTCATCAGCAATGTTGTCTTTTCTGAACTAATATGCATGCCACAGGACGATGAAGTCTTGATCAGACGCTTTACTAGGTTAGCTAGCTCTTCTTCGCTTCCAGCCAGTCCATCCATGTCATCTAATAATAAACTGCACTTTATAATATATATATATATATAGGTATACAATCACAATGGCTGCATTTAAAGAATATATTTTTTTAAAGTTTTTTTTTAAATGGCTGCTTCTCCTTGGTCCTATTTTCTTGGAGTTGTATTTCTCTCTCTCTCTTTTATTATTATTTTTTAAAACTCTTATCTTAATAAAACTTACACAATTTAATTGATTCCCCCCCCCCCTTTGGCCAATGAATATTTCTCAAATACCATCTTTGATTTACTGTAACCCCAGTTGACTAGACTGTCACCAAAATGACTTGACCGACGCCTAGTTGACTATATTGTCACCTTAATTGACTTGACTGTCAACCTAGTTGACTTGACTGTCACCCTAGTTGACTTGACTGTCGCCCGAGTTGACTTGACTGTCACCCTAGTTAACTTGACTGTCATTACTGTCAATCTAGTTTACCTTGACTGTCACCCTAGTTGACGCAACTCTCACTCTATTTGACTTGACTGTCACCCTAGTTGACTTGACTGTCACCCTAGTTGACTTGACTGTCGCCCTAATTGACTTGACTGTCATCATAGTTGACTTGACTGTCACCCTAGTTAACTTGACTGTCATTCTAGTTGACTTAACTGTCACCCTAGTTAACTTGACTGTCATATCTGTCAATCTAGTTAACTTGACTGTCATTACTGTCAATCTAGTTAACTTGACTGTCACCGTACTTGACTTGACTGTAATTACTGTCAATCTAGTTGACTTTACTGTCACCCAAGTTAACTTGACTGTCAATCTAGTTGACTGTCATTACTGTCAATCTAGTTGACTTGACTGTCACCCAAGTTAACTTGACTGTCATTACTGTCAATCTAGTTGACTTGACCCTAGTTAACTTGACTGTCATTACTGTCAATCTAGTTAACTTGACTGTAATTACTGTCAATCTAGTTTACTTGACTGTCACCTAGTTGACTTGACTATCGCCCTATTTAACTTTACTGTGACCCTAGTTGACCGCTTCTTTTCTTCCAATATTACTACATTAATGTGTCAGAAAATTAAGCCTTAATACAATATATAGAACTGAGCCAATTTTTTCAGCGTTCCAGTATCTCATAATATGTTTAGTAATTGATAGTAAAATAAAATTCTTCCTTGCATCTTTTGATCCCTTTTCTTTTAGTTACTTTTAGTAAAATTGTCACCAACTCCTATATAGAATATAGGCAACAACAAAATGTCAAAAGGGGTTGACCGCCCCTACTCCCCTCTATGCAGCTGATAGTAGTTTTAAGTGTGACGATTATTGAATACACGAAGCCTTTCTACTACTTGTATCAAGATGTTTGAGGTCACTCATCATTCCCACGACAGTGCAGACTAAATTTGAAACACAAAAAAAGTTTTGATGGACATTTTAAATTGTCAAAATTTAATTGATCCTGGGAATAGAAATTCAAACATTTAAAACAACTGGACTTGGCACTCAACGTATTCAAATCACGTTAAATAAAATGACTTGATCGTACTAAATAAAAATCCATGCGACAGCCAAGATTTAATGAATACCGGTAATGTTGTACCCAAAGGAGGCAACGTTTTCTTAAAATTTACTCTTCAAATAGTAAAACAATTTGGATGAGATTTCCAACAGGGTATCTGGTAAACTGGTACCTAGAGTTATCTGAGAACTTACCCACTTATTGTAAGGAGAAACAGTTTCAGTTTAAATGTGTAAAACAACTTATTATTTTTCCAAATGTATACATCTCTTGAATATATCAGGTTGGATTGTCAACCTGCTGCATGGTTCAAAGAATAAAATATAGAAATGGCCTACTCTCACCCCCTTCCCACCAAACAACAACTTTTTTCTAGAAATCCGCAATATTCTAAAGGGAAGCTTCTTTGAGACATAATATTATACCTAATATTATTTCTGGCACTGGTTGGGATTTCCCTGATGTAATAAGTGCTTGCTATTGAAATATTTGAAGTAGTTCTCTTTTGATGTATCGGTATTATTACCAAAGAAAGAGACACCGGAGACAAGGTAGACAAGGCCCCCGCACCACTCAAGCATTAGTTACACTGAGACTAGTTTAACAAATCTTATCACCCCCCCCCCCCTAGAAATACACTGCTGTCTAACAAACATGTCTAACAAACACTTAGTCTCGTTCACAATCAGTTTTATCAAGATGACTGAAATATATATTAAACACAACATATATTTCATAGCCTGTAAAACTTCTAACAACTATAATAAATTAAGAACATCTATCCATTATTTTATATGAACGTGCACATTTTAATATGTATTTACATTGAAAAATTCAGTAATGAAAATGTACATGAACAATTAACTAAGGTAGTTTTGAATGTTATGTTACTTAATCCCTGTGATAGAAAGATAACTAAACAAAATGAAATAGTCAAATTCCCATGCAGTTGTTACATTCAACATGAATATTTGATCAACTGCTATGGTATTTATTTCTATTTCAGGAAATCTAAAGCATTCATTGAAACTTAACACAAGAGAAAGGTGAAGTTCTTCATGCACTTCTGGAAGTGATGAAATGGTAAGGAGATGAAATGGTAAAGTGGCAAAATGGTGAAGAGATGAAATCGTGAAATGGTGAAAGGATGAAGTGGTGAATGGATGAAATGGTGCTAAACAAAAGTATCAGAAAAATGAAAAGCCTTGAAGTTGGATATTTTTCTGCCATCTTTTGTGTACATCAAGGTCTTGAAACAGATGCGACACAGAAATGTTGGGTCGGTTGGGATGAGTGGAGACTCTCGTACAACCCATCTGGGGAAAAAAAAACAGCTCTACTGTTAGTATATCAAAATGGTATATGAGACAAGGTCATTGTTTTTAATACTAATCCAGTGTATACATTACATAAAACAAGAATGATTTTATTTGACTTCTTTAGTGTACAAATTAATTTTGGTCAAGAACAGCAAACTGTTGTTTTTAAATGTAAGATACCAAACTTATATGGGAAACAATGCAGTATAACTAGGCTTTTGAAAAAGATATATATTTTGGTTAGTTATTGTCAAATTGATTCAGAATTTGTATATTTTGTCAGATGAAAACACAAATAAATAGAAGTGGCACTCACTTGGCAGAGAGTTTACAACAGCTCTGGCAGACAGCCCGTTGGTGTGTTCGAGTGATAGACAAGAGGGGATAAGCACGTCTGTCCTGATTATCATCAGCACTAAATAGCCTGGTCAAAGTTGAGAGAAATATTATTTTCAGTCAATTCTACAGATCATTAATAGTATTAACAGCATGTCATTACCCTTCAAAGATTAGTAAGGAGGGAGTGAATATTTATGCATCTTTTTCTTAGGAAATAATTCTATATCAACCAAAAAAAAAATTTAAATAAAGCCAACAGTTTGACAAAATGACAACAAAGTTATTAAAAAAAAAAATTGAGTTCATTTAATTTATTTTAAAAATAACCCTCCATGTCAATTTTAAAAGTAGAACAAATTTTAAAAAATAAGCAAGTAAGATCCTAACTTCAAAAGTGTAAATTTATATTAATAACTGAGCTCACCTTAGATCAGTAAAGACTACAGCGTGTTCACAGTTTCCTTGATGTAAGAACAAATAATTCTGACCAAGTCTAATTTTCAAATGACAGAAGGTTGTATCCTGCATATTGGCTGTCGACATTACTTCCCCTGGGAGATGCTCCTCTGCCCACTTTATAATAGGTCTGTTAGGGAAAGAGGAGTGTTTCCATGGATTAAGAAGCATTTATTTTGATTATTATTTTCAGCCCATAAAAAATATCTCTTATGCATTTCAAAATTCAAATGTAGTCAGAACTATCAAGATATTAAGCAGCATTAGGTGATAAGATAATTTGTTAAGTAAAGTGTCTAAGTAAATGAAATGTTATAAATTTAGATCCTACAACTTGGCATCTTAAACAATAACTCTAATGCTACAGTTACACTTTAAGAAAAGGAGTCAGTAAGTAGCTCTTATCAGTAAGTATCATGTTACACAAGACAGCACAAGGTATTTACTTTGAGTAATCTTTGTTATCAGGCAGCCTTGTATCATTGTAAAAAGTATTTTCAATGAATAAACAGCTTGATTTAAAAATGTCCTATTAAAAGAAGAAAAACAATTATCTTCAGCTTTGATAAAGGAGCTGTAACCTAAGTATTTCTATTTAATATTTAAATTAAAGCAACTGTACAGAGAAAACTCTTTGTTTAATTTCTCATTTAACAAGGTGTCTAAGTAAATGAAATAATGAAATAATTAATTATTTAATTTATTTTTCATTTAACAAGGTGTCTAAGAAAAAATAAATAAGGAACTAAACTATGCCTTTAAGTAAAATACAGACCCCAGCTTTCTGCAAAAGTTTAGGATCCACATCAGGCATGGAACTGTAGTCGCCAGGTATAACACAGTCAGATGAACATTTGATTTTGTCTCTGAGTTCTGTCAAATGCTGACTTCCAAGCACTAAATACGTCTCTCTCTCCCTCACCTGATTTGGGTTTACATTTAAGATATTAAATTAAGTTAACATAAAGTTCGGCCTGGAGAGTTCTTTTAAATTTTAAAATTTGATAGATATCTGGAGGCTTAACAATTAGTGGACAAAAATATGAATAAAATTATTAGTAAAATACTTTTTTTAGTTTGAAAAAATGTGTATACATTGGCTATATGAAATGTTCAGCCTGCAATCAAAATTTTTTTCACTACCGGTATTTAACTGTACAATATCAAAAGCCCTCAATAAAGCCCTGAGTAATTAAAGGCAAATCTGTTTTAGCCTTTTAAAAACCTTTGTTTAAGTTTTTCTTCCTTCATAAGAAAGTTACGGTAAAATAAAATTTTGTATGTGGTTACAGTAGTGTTTATAATTTTTTTATAGCATTTTTTCATTTAAGGGCGATAATTACAAATATAATCACAAAAAATTAACCATTTGAAATTGTTACTACCCTTTGACTTCCTTGTAAGAAGAAATAATTTTAAAATGTGTCAATTTTAAATTCTGTCTCAAATCAGTGACTCAAAGTAGTCAACCATTTTTAAGTAACCATAACATTATATTTAAAAACCTTAAACAGATATCTTACCCTGCATGAGGAAGTACCGATTATTAAACATTTAGTCACTTGCACTGTAAGAATTACTTCAGGCTTCGAAACTTGAAATTCGTGCGCTACTGGCAATCTATTTGTACCAGACTTACCCTGGGGTAGTAAAAATAATTTTTTATTTGACAGATTGAATCTGGACTTAAAATGTTATGCATGAACATAGTTTGCAAGTTTGAATTTGATTGCCTTGTGAATATATTTACTGAACTATTTTGAATAGGCTTGTGGAGAAAGTATATGTCAGGATTGTCACACGAGTAAGAATTTTGTCCAAAGTCAGTCATTTATAAACACAAACGATGAGCTGTCTCTAAGTGTTTTGCATGAAACGGTTAAAAACGCACTAAACTCCAACAAAGTGTGAACACTAGCTTTAAAATATTGTACTTGCATGACTCATTTTTTACTAACAAGGCATGATTTGAACTGCAGGTGGTGTATTTATAAAATCAACTAGAATATTTCAGAAGTGATTAGTTAAACCTATAACTTTACCATGCACTCATCAAGATTGCTGTATTTCATCTTTCTTTGAAGTGTTAATTTTACTCCATCATTTTCTTGCCTTAACTTCCTTTGTTTCATCTGAAAACTTTAATCATAAATAGTGAAAATAGTTTCAAGCTATGGTGAAGCATCGATCAATAATGTTATAAATTAAATTTAAAAAATGGTTTGAGCAAAAAACAACAACTAGATGTTAGGTAAATAAAAAATTGAATCTGGTTTGTAATGGCAATACTTATGTCTTATGTCATTCATTTACCTTTCAAAGCTTTTTAAAAATTAACATTGCATTAAAGTATATTTAAATTTTCTTTAATTCAAATTACAACATTGCTTCCATTATTTAAATAGTTATTACACAAATGATCAGGTACATATGTAAGTTTCAAAGGGCAAAAAGTCTATTTACCTGACACATTCCAGCTCAACTCCTGATGGAACTTCTGTCATATTTAATAGGTTATATTTATGTTTGGGCTCGTTGCCAGTGTAAAGAGTATTGGTCCTTGGAAAGAAAAAATTAAAGAAATGGAGTGTGAAAATATGTTATTTTCTTACCTAAGAGTAAGGTTGAATTTTTCTAATTGTATTACCTAAGAGTAAGGCTGAATTTTTCTAATTGTATTACCTAACTTCAAAAGAAAAATATATTTTTCTTCCTCTCTTGGCTTCTACCTAAGAGACATGTGGATATGGCATAAGTGATCTGCAAAGTATGAAGCCTGCTGCTGATTCTTGTTGATTTTGAGTGTCTTTAACACAGTCAATCCACCGACAGCGTGTTCATGCTTTGTTCCTGAAACCCAATAGGCTTTAAATGCAGGTTCAGCTGCAGCAATACTGACAAGTTGCTTAAACCAATTGTCTATTGGGACAAAGCATGGCTGATTTGTATGGCATGGCAACAACCATTAGTCTTATTTCTTAATAATGAATGTGCTCCCTTCCTTTTACTGACTGCTCGCCTTAAATATCTCATTTGCAGAGTTTACTCTCTAGAGTTTTACTCAAAGCCCAGGTCTGGCACAGGTAAGTAAGGGATGGAATGAAGACAGAATTTTAAATAACCTTGCTTTGGTCACCCCGTTTAGTCTTGGGTCTCTTTGTAGCCAGCCTGTTTGATTCCTCAATGCGTTTGCCTTCTGCACATGTGTCTCTTTCACTCTGTTCACTTTTCTGTCCCCAGCAAAAACGTTTCCCCAGATATTTGAACTCCTGTCATAGTCAGAGCAGCTGACCACTGATATTTATGTCCAATTTTTCTGGCGTACGACCTACTGACATGAATTCAGTCTCATCCATGATGCTTTTTATGCCATAAATTTCCCAGGCACTTTTAAGGCTATCAACATTGCTTTGTAGTTTCTTTGTTGCTGTTCATTTTTCATTGGTCATCTGCTTATATTTGAGCACCAGATTCAGATTGGTATCCTTTGTAATCTTATCCTAGTAAACCAATGTTTCCCAACCTTTTATAAAATCTGCACCCCCTATTTGATTCTACTCGCACACCCTATGAATTGTTTTACCAAGTCTCGCACCTTCACCAAAATTAACAATGACATTGTCCATGTATTTATATTTTGAAAATAATGAATTTCTAATTTATTTCTCCTATTGCAAAGAGGTCTGTAAAACTTAGAAAATATTCTTGTGACTAGTTAAATGAAGGAAAATGTTAGTGAAGAAAAATATAAAAACATTAGTATCATCTAAGAGCTAATATCCTCTCTGTTTTATAATTCCCCTTCCTTACACCACCCTGAAATTCTTCCTTGCAACAAAGTTTGGATAACGATGAACAGCAATGGAGATCCAATGCAGACCTTTCTGACTCCTGAGTTGACCTAAAACCATGTCCAGAGACCATTTGGGCAATGCACAGATCTTAAAACTGCAATTTTTATGGAGCCCTGATAGTAATCCAGGAATCAGTTGTTACACTTAAAAAATTATTAATTGTAAGCATTACAATGAGTAAATACTGAGTAAAAAAGAAATTAAAAGTAAAAAAAAATTATAAAAATATTACAGTTGTAAAAAGCAAACTTTAAATAAAACAATGAAACCAGAATCAACTTTCTTGGTTTTGTTGTTTTTGAGCTATGCATTTCAACATATGAGTTCATTTGTCCTTTTTTACGCTGGCATTTAGGATCCGATTCAACTCTTTTTGTCAGTCATGTGCTATAACTTAAAATTTGATTAGAATTTTTAACAAATTTTTTTTCTCCAGGATTTATTATAACTTGCACTAAAATTTTCATTTTTATTAAAAAAAATGTCTTAACTATACTGTGGTAAATAATAAACAAATTGTTTCTTTCCTAACTAAATAATAAATAACCACTATGCATTATCAGTAAGGGGGGAAATGCTATTCTGTAAGGCTATAAAGTGAGCTATAATAGGCAAACCGCAGTTAAAATATTCTGGTTAGGTATTGCTACTACTTTTATTGAACTCTCAACTTTTGCCCATGAGTAAGTTTTTTAAAAATTATGAATGAAACTCAGAAAATACTATCATGTAGCCAAGTAGACTAGTGCTGGCAGCGCAAAATAGAGGGATGTAAAGGTCGTAGTAGGTTCAAATGTATTAATTGTAATCTATGTCTGCCCTGCAATTGTGACAAAAATCGTTTTTTAAAATTTCACAACAAATGAACATCCTCTGTTTTCTACCCATATTCGAATTTATTTGACACATTTTGCTGTTGTATTAAAACAAATATTAATGGACAAATGCTTTAATAGTCATATATTTGGCAATTTAAATAATTAAAAATTGGCTTGCATTCATTACTGAATTGGAATTGTATAATTATTATGATGTTGTCATTATGTGTTTTTATTTTATTTTATTGGATTGATACACATTGTGTACATCTGTACACATGCATAAATTTGAATATTTAATTAGCAATAGTCAAAACCTTAATATGGCCATATCAGGATGTCCCATATATCAGGTCCCAACCATCAAATAATATTTTGGGCTGAAATTCTGAGTCAGTGTCGGAAGGGTAATTCAAAATAATGTTCTTTCATATTGAAGGATGATCAGCATCATAAATTGATGTATATGTGTGCCAATTCTGATTGATGCAGGTCATGTCTGATGTTCACACTGCTCGTTCCAGTAACCTGCATTATCATAAGGTGGCTCAGCCTAATTTTGACCATAGTGTGGGACACGCCCTCCCCCCCCCCCCCCCCCGCCCCGGTTGAAAGATGAAGATACTTGGGAAATATTCAATTATTACCACTATTAACATCAAAATAAATTATAACTTGTGTTTAAGAATGAAACTAGAAGAAATTTAAACAAGAATATTTTAATTTAAGAATTAAAAACATGTCCATATTAAAAAAAAACCTTTGTCATGGGAAACTATTCACAGCCACTTGCATTATGGCTATACCATAGTACCATCTCAGAGATTCATTCATAAGAGTTTGCCGCGTGCAAAAACTATTAAACAATAGGTCAAGGAAAGCATTAATTAATTACCAGACCTGCCAACCTGCCAAGAAAAAAAATCTGTAGGGGCGTTGCACGCAGGGGGGAAGTGGGGCCGCTGTGGGGGATTGGTTTAAGATCTATAAACTAATGCACACTATTTTTTAAAATAATAATAATACAGTTTATTTCAAAAACACGCTTCATCCCCAAAGGCTCGAAGCGCGGTACAAAGTAAAAAAAAATAAATTAAAAAAATAAATTACCACATTTTTTAGTCCATAAAGAAATATAAAGTTACCTCCATTGTGTTTGAAGGGTCCATTGAACACCACAGAACATGAGCTAAACATTGTTGGAAATGTTTATATACAGATATATACAGTAAAGAACAGAAGATGCATTTTATTTACATATGTACACACACACAGGCTGCTAGGACTCTTAGTAAGAGTTCAGTATTCGAGCATATTCCTAGTGATAGTGGCCTTTTTTTACTTGTCCAACAGCTCTTTGGACTTTGGACAACTGAAGGTTAGCATTGCAGTTTATTTAAGTTACAAGCAAGTTAGAAAAAGTATAAACTTTCATGCTAGCCCTTGTTTCATTGTAATTTTTCTTTACAATATTCTAGCATTCTGTAAGTCTGGAAACATGAAACATTTCTTCAACTCTGGCATTGAAATTAAAACGATCGGAGTTGGCTAGGGCTAGAGAAATATTTCCTTCAATGTTTATTAATATCACTGCACCCATCACTTTCAATAGATTTAACCATATAATTAAGAAAAGCTTTAACGAAAATTAAACAATTCAGAATTATTTTTTAGCCTTGTAAAAAGGATGAATCGCGATCAGATCAATTGATGATTGAAGAATGATTTGAAGATCCCAGTTCTCTTCTATAAAAACAAGGCAGTGTCTACAAGTCAGGCGACTGGACAAATAGTGCGGGAGATATTTGTCCGGCGGGCATGCCACGCTTTATAAAAAACATCGTCACAATTGTTCATTATATATGGTTCCAATATTTCTTTTTTATAACTGAACATATTTCTTTTTCATGTAAATGCCCAAACTATCTTGAATTTGTTGAAATGAAGTACCATAAACTCTTAACAATTAACGGTCACATGACAAGGCTGACGGACAAATATCTTGCGCAACTCTGTTACGGTGGTCATGTGACTTGGTGGAATAAACACTAGCCGGAAGAATATCTCGAGAACTTATTCACTTATTCGTCCGGTCGCCGGTCATGAAGACACTTCATAAAAACAAATGAAACACTTCCTGTCGTACCCGATTTTTTTTTTGTCGCTTTCGGATTTTTATGACGGGTGAAAAATTATAAAGTTCAAAATATCGGAATCTTAAGGGGTTTGTCGGAAGGTCGGAAAAAGGGGTAAAAAATCTGTATAATTACGACAAAATCGGAAGGGTTGGCAGGTCTGAATTACATATGCGCCAAAGTTGAAAGTTCAAAATAAGTAATCCCTAAACAGTATTTTATTAATAAGTAGATGTGTTGCCATATATATTTTATATATTGGTAAAATGGACAACGTAGACTTGGTTAAAAGAAAAGTCATATATTAACATATATTAAATTAACTGATAAAATCATAGTGCATAGTTGGATACAGGGCCCGTTCAAGGTGGGTAGGATGCGTGATCATCACACAGGCGCCTTTTTTTCTGAACTCTTTCCATAATTTTCCAGAGGGCGACAATTGCCTATTTTCATCCATCCTAAAAATATCTACGGCCGGCCCTGGTTAGATTGGTTACAATTTACTTATAATTGCATTACATCTATTATTAAAATTATTTTTAAATACAGCATTAATTCTGGAAATAAAAGTCATATAAAATTATCATTAACATGTGAGTGTGAGTTATAAATATAGCTCATGATGCGAACAGCGGCATTGGATCACAGATCAAAATGTGGAGATGCGGTCCATGTTAAAAAAAGGACTGACAAACGAAGATGTAGTTTAAAAAATCGTAGTTTAGAAACTAGTAAAGATGGAAAATTGATTTATGTTTCATTTTTTAAATTTAAATTTTGCTCTATTATACTGTACTACTTATACTGTGATAATAATCAAAACTTTTGACAAAAGTAAATGGTAAATAAATTTGAATAACTTGGACTTGTTCATATTCAAATAAATCATGAACTGACCCTGATATCTTTGGGAGGTCATAAATGTTAACCAATGTATAACTTTTTAAATATTAAATGATACTTATAATTATACTAAAACTAAGTCTTAGGCCTACCCACAAACTTCTGCAAGCTCTTGAACTGTTTCATCAGGAATCGACATTGCATTCGCTATGTTTTCTAATATTAAATCTTCATCAGATGGTTTAAAAGCGACAGCTTCATAAACCTCATAATTCCACAATTTCATAAAATCTACAGGACAAATACGGTCAGGATGTTGCAGCCTTGTTATCGAGTCTTGTGTTTCCATTTTATGTGATCGCAGAACTTTCACTTTAATTTAAGTTAAATTATCACAATCATGTACTGTGATTTTAACTTCCGGTTATAAATGCTTTCAGCGTTAAAAGAACTACAGTCATAAAAAAATTTAAAAAAATATTTTAAAAAAATAATTTTAAAATTTTTTGAAAAAAACTCCTCAAAATCAGACGACATAAAAAATAAAATACATTCTCTATCTAAATATGATGTAAACTAATGAACTTTTAATTTAAGAGACAGTACAAAAAATGTAGTCTCTGCTAAAAGCCCTCGTTAGCAATTCGATTATAATAATAATGACCATTCGAATTTATATTAAAAATTGTAATATTAAAATTCCGAAGTGATTATTCACAGGCATTGTGCGGATAACGCTCGACGTTATTCGCAGATTTCGGTCTGCCGATAACGCTGGACATTATTCGCAGAATGTGATAAATTAAATTATGAATATACAATAGAAAGTTCGCATTTAAACAGTGTGGTGGTCAGTATCTCCGCCTTTCACCCGGAAGACCAAGGTTCGATTCCCCATCGGAGAAGTTACTTTTTATAAATACATTAAAAAAATATATATATATATTTGATGGTTATTTCGTATTGTTATATTATAATTATATTCTTCATATAGCTTTCTTATTCTGTTCACAAAGTTTTACTATTATTATTATTTTCATATAGTTTTGTTACTAATTTTACAATTTTTATTTATAAAATTTTATTATACTTTTCATTGTGTCCAGGGTATTCAAAATTCTAGTTTCAATTTATTTTGTTAGAATGTTCATTCAAGTTTCGTCAAAAAATTCTAAACAAACATGGACATGCAGATGAGCCGCATAAACCATGTTTAAGTCATATACAGCTGTTCTAACTGTACATTGTGATATACTTTTAGCTCTTTTGACTGTTTAATTTTCTTTGTATAATTCCACTCATAGACTTTAACATCCATTTGTTTTTTTCTCTAATTAACAAAATAAATATTAATAACTTACTTATTCAAATATTTTATATCTCAGAGTTGTGTATTAATCTTTAGCTGAAAAAATATGTCACGTTTTATTTGTTTCATTTTATTTTCTAATAAGTATCATAATAAGTAGGGACACAATATGCCGCTCCAGAAATAGTTGAAATAACACTTAGTGACAGAGGCGTAGCGTGGTGGGGGCAGGGGGGGGGACAGATGTCCCCGGGCGCCAGCTAGTTAGGGGCGCCAAAATGTGCTTTGATATTATTTTATTGATGAAAATAATGGGTTTGAGTGTTGAAAAAAAGAAAAAGGCGCGCTTTAAAATGGATATTGTCCCCGGGCGTGAATCTTGTCCCCGGGCGCCAGACACCCTCGCTACGCCACTGCTTAGTGATGACAATGAAATGAATATACCGGTCCCGTACTTAAAACATATCAATATCATTGACATCAACAATTTTAGCTCTTGTAAAAAAAATGTTTATAATTGAAACAAAAAGCCATACTGCCACTGTTGTAACTATGGGTCTAAATACAAAAAAAAAGCATACAAAAATTAATTGGAACCCTGCTGGTCGTAGGATGCATTGAGAGTCTTGGGGAAGTTAAGTTCCCTTGGGGCAATTGAAGCAGCGTTTACAAGTTTGAGTGTATGGCAGCGCAATAACCAGCGACCTTTACTTTTCCCAGCTAAGGCCAGAGCTGGGTAGACTTAGGGACACCCTCAAAGATGAGGAAAAAATACTAGCCTTAAACTTAAACAGGATTAGATTCTGTTATTATCGATGTAAGGCCTATATGCCCCTCCTCGTCTCTCACATGGCCGCCTGATGCAGACACCTCTCTGCATCATAACACTGTTGCACGGCATGTCAACTATTGCTGACAGAACATTTTTGAACTACGTGATATATCATAGTGCTTAAAAAAAACTAAACGATATCCTATCAAGCTTTGACATCATTTAAAGAAATCTCTTCAATGGGTGAAAGTGAGTCTACATGAACAAATACCGGTACCATTTTTACTACTGGTATAACTTTTAATATGAAATACCAGAAAATTAGCTATGTCTAGGAGTAGGAGGTTTGACTGGATCTATTAGTAACACTCTATAGGTCGAATAGACCCTATGTTGATCCCTAACAGAGCAGATGTAGGCACAATTAATTGTCCTATATCCAATATATAGGCTATAGTTAGGCCAATTAATTTTTTTTTTTTAATTTAACTTGTGCATACCGGTAGCTTCGGTTTTGAAATGTGTCTCTGCCATACTCATTAAAGATCGATCTATCCTACATTACTTAAAAAACTACACCTCCACCCCACCCCGGCTTGGAATGTGATCCTAATTATTTCTAGAAATTTGCGTCATTATGGGAACATTTCTGTCTAACAATAACGTTCGGCATTATTCGAAGATTTCGGTCTGCCGATAACGCTCGGTATTAAAACGGTAGTAAAAAAAGTATTTACGTTTTTTTAAAAAATTCCTTCTTAAATACTATATATTAACTTTATTTTAGTTCGTGAGTTTCTTTCTGTCTCTATCTGTGGCAAAATCTTCGGAAGGCTATTTGACCCACTTCCCGTCAACATAATCAAGCTGAAACCTGGCACATAGACTCTGCCGATGACAACACATTCTATCAAATTTTCATACTTATCTAACCATGCAGCACTTAAAATAGAAGCATTGTCTTTGCGAGCAATAGTTGCCATAAGCTCCCTCCATCTTTGAGTTGTATAGTTGTTATTGAACATCGATGAGTTGTTTTTGTTTTTTAAATTGAACACCGTTTACAATGATTTGTTAATCATTCTAGGGAGCGAATTAAGAGAAAAATAACAGGTGAAGAAATTCCAACTTTTGACTTCTCTTGAACAAACAAAGTGTGCTATCTGCAGTGCACAGACAGACACACATTATAAATAACTCTTATATTGTTTAAAGCTTAAACATATATGACTTTTTACACTCATTAAATTGTTTAAAATAAGGCAAGAACATGTCAATTTTTAAGATTAAAATTTCAATAGAAAAAAACATGTTGACGTCAATTAATCAACCCCCCCCCCCCCCCCCCCCCCTCATCAACTGTAATATATTTCCAAATCCCCCACCCTATTTTGTTGACATAATTAATGGACGCCCCCTTACCTGCAATATATTCGAGAGGACAAAAAAAATGATTGTTCTACAACATGCGTAGATGGTAGAATGAATACAGGCAAACGGAAGCGGAAGAGATGAAAAGTAAGTTCACTGCAATTTGTCGTTATAAGGAGGGCAGAGGAAATGTTAAACAAATGAATGAGAACATGGCATTCCTACCATGTGGTATCAGGGTCACATAAGTCTGAATCAGTTTGTTCTCCAAGTTCACCCTGTTGGGCGTGTTGGTGCACGACACAATGGCGGTGATAACAAAATCCCTTGAGCCCTTGTGGTCACTTCTTTTGAGATGTGACGCTGCTTATTTTGCCCAACATTTCGAAATTGTTTGGTTCATCTGTCTGAGAGGCTCCATCAAATCTCACCTACATACGTCATCTGACATTAAGCTACAAACAATCCCGTAGACAAAATTGCGACTATTACGAAAGGAACCTGGCCGTGAGATTTGTACTCTTTTAAAGTTAAAGCATCATCCTGGGAATGATAATTTCATTGACATAGGTTTCCTAGTCACATTATTCATAACAGCCTTTGCCATGGAGTTGACTTAAAGTGAATAAGAGGAGACGTGCCACACTGAGAACTGAAGCTCTGAGTGTTTTGTGACTCCGTTGAAGTTAATTATCAACCCTTAATAAATCACACCAAAACAAGCTGGGTGAGTTGTTCCCAGCGGGAGAGAGAATGTTCAAGTTACTTGATGCTCTCAGTAGTCTCAAAGCATTTTTTTTAAAATCCCCATATTCTAACATTTTTTGTTTTGAAAATCCATAATCGGAAGTATATTTATGGTTGACACATTCTTTAATGTCTGTATTGCAAGCCAACTTGGCATCTGTAGAGCAAGAAGAAAACTCAGTATTGAAAATTTTGAACATTTTAGAATCAATTATGCGAAACAGAATTGAAGACAAATTTTTGCCCTTGTACTCAATTCACACGATCAAATTTTCGTCAAATTTCTTTTTGAACGCATTATTTTGTTTTACTATAAATAATACTAGTTGTAGCCCGCCAAACATTGACAGTAGCAATGCGTGAACTTTCCATCTACTAAAGTTACTTGAAAAAAACGTGAACTCAAGTAACCCACATTTAAGAATGCCAATTTTGCTACACCTCTTCCCCCTGCACACTTTTCATTTCACGCCCATGAAATATCTTAATAGTCTCATGCATACATTATAAAACGTATTTTATTTTAATGATGTAGTTATTTGTGTGTTTCAGAATAAACGTTTAAATCATAAATTTAGTTTAATTTAGAAAAGTCATCCTTCAAAATATGATGTCTCACGTTTCCGACCTCTTCCAAATGGAATGTCCTTTCTCATTATTGCATACCGCCGACCCACAAATTCCATAGAGTTAATATAGGCTACAATAAAGAGGTGTGCTTGAAAGGATAATATGATGTGACTAAGCAAACAAAGGTTTGATTTATACTGTGGCAAATAATAAGATGTCTAAAAGTAGGTCCCCCCCCCCTTCCGTATGGCCACAGAAAAGAACTTAAGAGTCTAAAAACCTGTTGCTGTCTCCTAGCCCTTACAATGATGATGTTTAGTGTGAAGCCATATAATCACGCGACTGTTAAACGTTCAGATGTCTTTATTTATTAATATACTGTGTGGAACACATACCACAAAATGCCGAGCAAGTAATTACTGGCGTTCAAAATAGAAACATGTGTTCAAAAATAAACTATTACCAAGATGCACTTTTAAATGATTTTAAAAAATATTGATATTATTTTTAAATTAATTTTTGTTGACTAAGGTTTCCTCCCAGAAGTACTGCTATACTGGGGTAGTCCCTCTTCCAAGTATGCCAGTGCGGATATCTTGGCCTTGCGGCTCTTTCGGCCAGACACAAAGCGAGATATCACCGCCCCCCCCCCCCCAACGGGTTTTGTAACTGGCTTGCATAAGATCCGATGCTTCACTTTCATCTATAGCGAAGAGGCCGACAAGGGATCGGATTTTTTCTTGGCCTATTCAGCTTTTTCTCCGAGCACAAATACTGTCTCACTCGCTCATAGATGTACACAGCTGTTATACTCAGGTTTTTAATCATCCCAAAGACTCGGTCATATGTGACTGATCTAAATTCATATTTAAATTTTAAAAAAATATAAAATGAACAAATAACCAAGTTAACTTGCATTATTGCATAATAACCCAAACATCACGACATGACACAGCAGAACTACTACATCACGTGACACGTACCGTGAAGATAGGGTTTCCATGCGTCCGAGTTCCTCGGGCATGTCCTTTTTTTACGCCCTCATCGGGGCGGGTTTCCAGAAATATGGCTTTTCCCGGGTTTTCACTCTTATCCATCCCCATCTATACCATCTTACTTACCTTAATAAAAAGTCCTATAATTATTTTGTTCTTAAAGCGTTCTCGGAAATACTTCATCTACCAAAGTCCACAATTTTTCCATAACACCAGGTACGAAAAGCGATGAATGTGCCTCTACAGCGGATGCATAGTGGAGTTTCACGCTGTCAAGCATCATCACAGTCATAAATCATTGGAGCGCAATTGTTGCTCATTAAAAACTTTTAATTGAGTCTACTTTACACCAGTCAGTGTATCATAATTTGTATAGTATACTGAACACTCAACTAATACACGCTTATAATTGAAACTTTTTACGATAAGATCAATATTTTATGTACTTTGACTTTACTTTTTGTTTTTTTTTTGGCGTAGCCCTTGGAGCCGACCACAGGGTGGTAAGTTAAATGGAGTTGATGAAAATTTTCAGTGTCCTCATTTTCATCTGAGGACATATAGTAACCCACCATGAAGATGACGTTAGAAAAGAGAAAAATAAACATAATTTAACCAAACATTGTTGATGGAATCAAAATTATATTTAAAAATCCGTATACATAATTTATATATATATATATATTTATTTATTTATTTATTTATATGTTTCCAATTCTTAGGTATGATCTCTCTCCCCCCCCCCCTCTCCCCCATTTCCATTTTTATTTATATATATATATATATTTATTTATTTATTTATTTATATGTTTCCAATTCTTAGGTATGATCTCTCCCCCCCCCCCTCTCTCCCCATTACGTATTTTACCGAAAACCAAAACTGACAAAGTCCGAGTTCGGGAGAAAAAACAAATGCAATCATAAAGTGAGGCTGCTCACAGTAGCTCAGTCAGTAGCTATTATTTTGTTTTTTTTTTTTTAAAGTCAGTATTCACATGAAGCTTCGAAGCAAAGGGCATGGCGGCTCTATTCAATGTTTAGTCCAGAATTTCATCGTTGAAACTTTCAATATTGTGTTAGCTATTAGAATTGTTAGCTATTAGGATTGTTAGCTATTAGAATTGTTAGCTATTAGAATTGTTAGCTATTAGAATTGTTAGCTATTAGAATTGTTAGCTATTAGGGTTGTTAGCGATTAGAGCTATTAGGATTGTTAGCTATTAGGATTGTTAGCTATTAGAATTGTTAGCTAATAGGATGTTAGCTATTAGGATGGTTTGCTATTAGGATTGTTAGCTATTAGGATTGTTAGCTATTAGAATTGTTAGCTATTAGGATGTTAGCTATTAGGATGGTTTGCTATTAGGATTGTTAGCTATTAGGATTGTTAGCTATTAGAATTGTTAGCTATTAGAATTGTTAACTATTAGAATTGTTAACTATTAGAATTTTTAGCTATTAACACAGTTAATTTGCTTAGTTTGCAACCCCAAAAATCGGTTTGACTGTCGCTTAAAAATGATAGCGAGGAAAAGTCGAGGCTTCTTCTGTTGATGTCATGATAAATAATCCATGCATGGTTTTAACCCGAAACAAATTTTAAAAATCAATTTTGTGTGTGTGTGTGTAATGCAGAGAAGGAAAAGCAGAACAACACTATAGTGTCCGAGGACAAGCCTTAATTTTATTTATTACATTTATAAATCATATTAATTAATAACGTATATGTCTATTTAATTGAATTGGAAAGCAAGTTCCCCTTTACCATAATAATTTTTTAAAAGTTTTAAAGTAACGGAGCGCTTATTCACAGCCTGCTCCATTTTTTTTTTTGTGGTTAAAATGCTGGCGGTGGTAAACCCTTTATCGGCTTGAAATAATGCTGAGCGTTATACACTGTCGGCTGAGAATAACTTTGAGCATTATATCCGATTTCAGTTAAGCGAAGGTTGTGTTTCTAAGCTTGCTGGCATGTTTCATTGATTTATATGATGGGGATAGAATTTCTTTATTTTTTTCTTCTTGCCCGTGTACAAGAGCAAATCTGTTTGAATGAAGAATTCAAAAAAAGTTAATTTATGAAGTTGATTTTTAAACATTTGCTTTGACTTTAATGTAGAAAAGTTGGATCACGCAACAAATTCAACAAACGAACAAAACAAGACAAGATGTTTCTTTTCTTAACATTGTTTAATTTGTTGCTCTCAGCACAGAGTTCCTAAGAAATATCACAACTTAAGCTTCTTAAGTTGCTTTGTTACGTGAAGCGTTTAAAGATTAGTTCAAAAATATGTGTGCCTCAACCTTTATAAAGATAATATAAAGTCTATGGGTTAGCGCTTCGCATCACCATTGTGACAGAGACATGGAGACGTGGCCGTAATAGGAAACTTTTCTTGAAAGTTTATAAAAACTTTCCATGTCCCCCGACCCCGGCCTCTCCAAACCCCTCCCCCCCCCTTTTTTTAAATTATAGAATAATATTTATACTTTCTTTCTTGTAAGGGACATAAATTTACACGTACCCCGATAATGCTTTGGATGGTGTTGTTTTTTTTGTGTGTTTTTTTTTTAAAAATAAAAACACGTTCAAAGCCGGGTATCTTGGCTAGTGGATTATAAAACGCCTTCATGTAGGTCATTACTGTTTTGTCCCCATCCACGTCTCCCCAAGTCCAAACTTGATTTAATAAATCAGCTATGTCAGTTGCTTTAACAAACGATTTGGCGTCAAGTGAATAATTATATTTAGTTTAAATAGTGTAATCTTATGTAAACTGAAGCTTAGAGACGTGAATGTTAAATTTCTATTTTTGTTACCTCAGTACGTCAATTATATATTTTATTATTAGTGTAAACTTAAAATGTCAATGTTAAATTTCTATTCTATAAAATTAAAACGGAATTTTGTAAAATGCAAATTCTACATTCCTCGTATTGTAAACTTCAAGTTGCCAATGCTACATTTCTTCAATGTAAGTTGTCAATTAGCCAAAATGCGGTAGCCCAAACACAAAGTTGGGGATTTAATCGATTGAAAAATAAATTTAAATCCCTTATCCACTCACCCAACAGCTTCGTCCAATTACAAACATAGGATTTGAAGGAGAGAAAAATCGAAATCAATTAAATGCTATGAGAAATGAAATAAACTTAAAAGTACAATACTCTCTGAGGAGCGTGTACGACTTTAATAGGAAAATAAGTTGGCCATCAGCTGCGAGCTTATCGAATGGTCTTGTTATGAGATTTTTTTTTTTACCCGGTGGAAACTAATCGTTTCAAGTAGGAATAAGTGAGGGGGGTGGGACGGGGTATCTACTTAAATAAGGGTGAGCCTTCAAGATCAAATGAGAGTTGTTTTTATCTCGAGCTTCAAGCAGCATGAAGTGTGAGTACGGTAACAGATATAATTGCATTTTAAATTGTGCGTTTTGCAGCCCTAGTGGTTTAATTGATGGGATTCAAACACACGTTTTGATACATTGTAATTTAATGTGGGATGTAATGTACATGAAATTAGCGTGCAGTGAATTTAATGTTAAAATTGAAAGGGGGAAAAAAAGATAGAATGTGACCAGGAACGCACAGAAAGTTAGAATGCCATTTAGCTATGTTTTAATATGTGTATGATTTGTTTTATTTACACGTGTGATCTCAGATGTGTAAACATCACAGACATTAATACAGGAGGCAACATACGGCTTTCTTGGTTCATTTCAGCGATTCTCCTAACCGGGGCCATCATGGCGGCAGTTCTGTATCTGGCACGGGCAGACTACGAAGGTGAATGCATCAGAGAGTGCAATAATTTTTGTGATGAAAAGGAATCATGTTCGCTTATCAACGGGATCGAGGCTGGACCAGACTGTGCCCAACCTAAAACGTGTTGGAAAAATTGCATACAGAGGTGAAAGGAGCTTGAGATAATTCCTTCTAATACAATGTTCTTAGTTCTTTAGCTTGCGAACCACACCTTTTAAAACTAACAAATTTAATCTTTTACATTAAATTCGATTTTGCTTGTGGCTGGCTAGGTGGCAAAATCTTCGGACAGCAAAGTGACCAACTTCCCGTCAATCTATCGAGCTGAAACGTGGCACTTGTTTGCCAACGACAACGTGTTCTTTCAAATTTTCAGCCGTAAACCCCAAACCCCCAAAATGAGGTTTTCCAGTTTTTCTAGGGGAAGGTAAAATGAAATTCCCGATAACTGCGATAAAGTGCGTTTGTTCTATTGTTTTCTTTTTCGAAAACTGTTGGGAAAATAAAGAAGCGGGTAGAAGTTAGAATAATAATATAGTTCATGGGCGTGAAAAAAAATGTTCGGTTGCGAGCCTGGAAAAGGAGGGGGGGGGGGGGGTAGGGGGGGGGGGAGGAGCACTCATTTGGCTTTTTTTAAAGCACGTTACTTGTTTGAATATTTTGTCAAATTTTTAGCCCCAACCCCCTCATCCCCATTGCTCCATATTACAGTTTATAAAGGATTTCTAGGAACAACTTTGTTTTTAGGGGTTGCTTAATTTCGAGGTGATTTTGTTGNAAAAACTGAAATAAAGAGCTCTTAAGAAAGACGGAATACGTGATGCCCCGATGAGTGAAATATGTAAGTGATTTGGCCCGTAAGTGACAGGGTGAGAAATGAAAAGAAATTAAAATTAAAAAAAAAAAAATAATTAAAAAAAAAAAAATTTCAAGGCAAGATGATGGCATTCCTCCCTCACACTTTACCGTGTCTTCCTTCTTGACTTTAACGTTTCCTCTCTTGTCCAGTGATAGCGGCATGAAAAGAAAAAAAGAAGTTAAATTGAGAATTTGACAAAAAGTCTTGAATGCAAACTATGATTAATGCTTTGGCCTAAGTGAATGATTTTAGCCTTTTTGCGTAGAGAAATTTTACAAAATTTTTTTTTTTTTGAATACCGAATGGTAAATTAACAAATATATAGAAAATGAAAAAAACAACAGAAAAAAAAAACCATAATAAAATTTAACATATGTATATAGATAAATGTAGCACTTAGCTGAGAAGTAGTGTCCGATGGGCAGCAAAAGAATTTTCTGTTGTTTGTTCGCTGACGAAGGCTTCCTGCCGACAGGTTCGCTGTTTTGTAGCGTCCCCTTTTTCATGTTTACTTTGTTTTACTTATTTCCTATTTTGCTAAACTGATTGCAGTCTCTCCTCTTTTTACCCTAAAAAATATAAATGTCTCAAATATTAGTAGAGAATAAGTTTTATTTTTTTTCTTTAAATTATTCCGTTTAAATACTAAAAGATAAAAAAGTTATATGTGAGTAATAATAATTTCACATTTTCTTTTAAAACTTCACCTTTACAATATTCTATCAACTTAAGTTACCTTTGTGCATATATTAGTTCAAGACGGGTGTGAACGAGTGATTTAACTTATGTAAATTGACTGTAGTGTTGGGTAGGCACTGGTTAAATTTTGTAAAGTGAATTTTATCTGTTGAATGGCAAACAGTGTAAATTGGCTGTAGTGACGGGTAGGCTGTTTTGGGGGGGGGGGGTAAATAGTGTCATACTCAAAATAAACTAAGCGTATTAATTGGCATTGCTGCTTACAGCAGGACCAGCGCTAGGGAAGGCGAACGGGGAGAAACACACTTCCAGCAATGGCATCTACTCGCTGACAGTTTATCATTTCTATACATTCAGCGACATTCTCATTGGAACGAGACATTGTAGCCACCATAGACTATGAAGAACTCATTGTGGTGTTGACCACCAAGAAAGCAAGGAAGAAGATATTTCGCTAAAACCACAATGCACATTTTAATTGCTGGCATTTTTTATACTTTTTTTTTTTTTGTTGCCTTGGGATAGCAATCCTATAGCAGCATTGCAATGTATTCGTATGTTCACTCACTCGCTCGCAAAACGTATCTCACCATTCCTTAATGGAGAATGTGGATCTAGATGGAGAGTTACCGAATGCCAACACGTTTTTATTACCTCGTTGTTCATCAGTACGGTACCAACTGCCCGGGTAATCAGTCGGGTTCCCGATTTTAGGAAATTATTCTAAAAGTCATTTTTTTGAAAATTTAAAAATTAATTAGAATTTTGTTACTCTAAACCAGTGCTTCTTAACCTGGGTTGGATTGAACACCAGGGATTCAGTGAGCCAGTCTCAGGGGTTCGGAGGAGGTCCAAAAAAAAAATCGGAAAAAAAAAATCATATTTTATTTTTCCTATTAAGAAGGGTTCGGTGAATGCGCATATGAAACTGGTGGGGTTCGGTACCTCCAAAAAGGTTAAGAACCACTGCTCTAAACCCTCTACTGCCAATAGCGCCCGCTGTTGCCACTAAAATTTCCACAGGCAGCTGCCAACTATGCTCGTTCGATGCTTAGCAACTCAACTACCACACATTCGTCTGCTTGAATGGACTGCTGTTCTGGCGAGAATGACATGTTGTTAGTTAGTTTTTTTTTTAAAAATTAAATACCCGTTGATCTATCGTCTTTCGTTTAAAGTTACGAGAGTTCAAAGGTCACAGGTTACGCAGCAAATTGTTCAGGCTCCACAAACTGTGTCAACCATCGAGGGATTTCTCTCCCTTTCATAGCTGGGAAGATCGAGCCCACTACAACTACACCATGAAAAGGGACTCCTGAAAGCCAATATGGATTCCGTTGAGAACGGGGCCATCTTCGCAAGTCACACGTGTACTCACCGTTGACTATGGCCTTGGTCATCTTCACAAACGACCAATGTTCTCTTATTTTTACATCACACAGTATCATTACATCGCGTAGATCCTAGATGCTATACATCATTCTGCATTGCGTTTTTTCAGAATTTGTTTATGATAATAATGAGATGAGTAAAACCCGAGTTGGGATGCTTAATGCGGCTCAGGGTAATTACACTTTTAAATAGAAAAAAAAATAAAAATAATAAACTAAGCGAGTGAACAAAATCCCCGGTTTGACATGCCCCATTGTGACCAGTAGACCCAGTATGAATTTGGTTTGTCTTAATATTATTAATATTATTAGTGGTTTTATATAGCGTGGTACCCCAGCCTAGGGCTGGGCTCACCACGCTGTAAGTACAATTTTACAAACATAATCATGAACTTAAAATTATTAATTAACATACATTAGTTAAATAAAACAAACAAATGTATATTTACCCCACCCATTTTACAACTATTTACATGTCAAGCCATGGACGTCACCCAGCAGTATCGTTTTTCGGTCAGAGGTGGGAATCAGTCAGGATAGAAGAGTTTAAAAAGATGTGTTTTGAGTGCAGTTTTGAAGGCTGTGATGGTCGGTATATTGCGGATGTGAAATTGAAGAGAAAACCATTTTTTAAGGGACAGAGAAAGAGAAAGATTATTTACCGTATGTTTTTGTGCTAGTCTTGGAGACAGAAAGAATACGCGCGTCTGCGGAGGAGCGAAGCTGTCGAATGGGTAAATAGACAGCAAGAAGTTCGGTAAGACGGGAAGGGCAGGAATTCGAGAAAAAGTTGTGGCAGAGAACGAAAGTTTGTAGTCAATCCTCGCTTGTACAGGGAGCCAAAGAAGTGAATAAAGAAGTGGTGTGACGTGATCAAGTTTTTTTGACTTTAGAACTAGCCTAGAAGCTGAGTTTTGAACCTTTTTGTAATTTTTCTAAGAAGTGTTTTGGTGAACCTGATAGAAGAGCGTTGCCATATTCAAGACGAGAGAGAAAAAGAGCACAGACAAGGGTTTTTGTTGCACTAACTGTGAGGTAGTGGCGTATGGAGCTGATTTGAAAGATAGCGGTGAACGCAGAGCGACAAATGTGAAAGATGTGATTATCGAGAGACATGTTGTTAGACAGAAGATAACCAAGATTCCTAGCGGAGAATGTAAACTGCATGTCGGAGTCACCTACTTGGAATGAGGCGGGAAGAGCTGAGTTAGAGGATGATTTTTTTATCGTGAACAAGGAGTGCTTCCGTTTTATCATCGTTAAGCTTCAACTTGCTTAGTGTCAGCCATGACTTGACATCATCAATGCTCTTCCGCAAATTCGGACAGCGGAATCGACAAGAGAGGGATGGGAATGCTTGTTTATCCTATCATCTGTGCTCTGAAACGTAAGCGCCCATGAAAAATTTAAATTGCCACAGGCCCCGTACTCTCATATCGCCGGCCCTGCTTATAAATGCTACAATTAATATTTTCTTATGAAGCAAAAAACCGCACATGATAGTCATATACGAAAAAGTTTGACCTAAAAACAATGACTAAAACTTTGTAATTGTAACAACGATAACCTCAATATTAAGTTGCTGAAGATTGACATGATTCATAATACCATTTACATTTAATGTTTACTTTGTGTTTCTCTCACTGCACAGATGTCCGTTAATATCCGAGTGCCTGAACCAAAAGTGTCAGACTGAAAGGCTCACTTGCCAGAAGGAGGCGGCCGAATGTGACAGCATCAACACTCAATGCATCCACGATTGTAAAGAAAATAATCCTGTTCATACAAAGAAATAACATTGAAAAAAAAAACCCCACAACTTTTGATCTTATGACGAGCACGTTTACAGAGGCAGTAGTTAAAAGCATCGTATTTATTCGTATTTATAAATATTCATTTCAAAGAAAACAAATATTTTTATTCTGGGGAAACAGAAGCTTATTAAAAATCAGCAGACCATACTAAGATTTAAATGTCTGCAATTTCTGGCATATTTTGGTGATTAAAAAAAACAACATTGTATAGTCTTTATTCTCTCCTTGAGTTCATCGCTTTTTATGGATTTATGGGCTCTGGGGAATGGGTCTTATATGTAAAACTGTATGTACAGTACCTGACGCTCTTAGGTGAAGGCGGGAGAGCAGACATTTGGTGGAAGTATATTGTACATGAAATGACCACACTTTGATAATATATATATGTATATATGTATATCGTTTTTGGATTCAATGACATCCTCATATAATGTCAATTTAAAAAAAAGTGTTTTTTTATCCTAAGTCATTTTTAAAATTAAATTTGGGAAAAATTAAATCCAAGCTAAGGTTCAAATTGTTTAGGGACATCCAATATTTTTTTTTTTTTTTTTTTTTTTGTTTGGGGGGGGGGGGGTCACATTTGATCAAACACGACTTGATCGCTGAAATATTTGATTTGCTTGGAACATTTTCATTTGTATGTTTTTAAATTGTCTTAGGTTTTAGAAGATCAGCAGTAAATCACCAGTAGGCAGTTGAATCTCACTCGAGATGCCGATCGAGTGTTAAGGAATTTAATGACAAGATGTGATCTAGACGGACTTAGGACCCATTTAAATTAGCCCATATGATAAATAGAGTAACGCTCAACAGACTTTCAAAATCTCGACATCTATGAGATATAGATTATGCTTTAATTGATTGATTATTAAAACATGCAGACATTCAAATTAAATAAAATTTTATTAAATACACATCTGAAAAATTGAAATTATTTTTTCATTACACTAAGCAAGTAACAGATGTATTAAAATGTGCTGCTTCCAACATTAACTTGTGGTAACATTGAATAAAATGGATTTGAAAGCAGAACCAAACCATGCTAAAGAAACTAAAAGCTTTTCTAAGACTAAGAGACGCCCACATATGTAAACAATGCTGAGAACACATTTTAAGATATGCAGACAGAACGCATCGGGCTTTTATTTTATTATCCGATATAGAACATAAAATCTATATAACATATGGACGACAAACATCAATGAATATAGAAAAGAATTGATTGATATAATATTCACGACAATAAGGTTGTCTGAATACGACTTTAGAGTTGTGTTTGCTAAGAGGCAGACGATTAGAGTTGTGTTTGTTAGTGAGTAAGACGGTTAGAATTGTATTTGTTAATGAGTCAGACCGTTAGAATTGCTATTTGTAAGTGAGTCAGACGGTTAGAGTTGTGTTTGTTAGTGAGTCAGACGGTTAGAATAGCAATTTGTTAGTGAGTCAGACGGTTAGAATAGCACTTAGTTAGTGAGTCAGACGGTTAGAGTTGTGTTTGTTCTTGAGTCAGACGGTTAGAGTTGTGTTTGATCTTGGGTCAGACTGTTAGAGTTGTGTTTGTTCTTGAATCAGACGGTTAGAGTTGTGTTTGTTCTTGGGTCAGACTGTTAGAGTTGTGTTTGTTCTTGAGTCAGACAGTTAGAGTTGTGTTTGTTCTTGAGTCAGACTGTTAGAATTGCGTTTGTTAAATGAGTCAGACGGTTAGAGTTGTGTTTGTTCTTGAGTCAGACGGTTAGAGATGTGTTTGTTCTTGAGTCAGACTGTTAGAGTTGTGTTTGTTCTTGAGTCAGATGGTTAGAATTGCGTTTGTTAATGAATCAGACGGATAGAATTGTGTTTGTTCTTCAGTCAGACGGTAAGAGTTGTGTTTGTTCTTGAGTCAGACGGTTAGAGTTGTGTTTGTTCTTGAGTCAGACGGTTAGAGTTGTGTTTGTTCTTGAGTCAGACGGTTACAATTGTGTTTGTTCTTGAGTCAGACGATTAGAATTGTGTTTGTTCTTGAGTCAGACGATTAGAATTGTGTTTGTTTATTGAGTCAGACTGTTAGAGTTGTGTTTGTTCTTGAGTCAGACGGTGAGAGTTGTGTTTGTTCTTGAGTCAGACGGTTAGAATTGCGTTTGTTAATGAATCAGACGGTTAGATTTGTGTTTGTTCTTGAGTCAGTCGGTTAGAGTTGTGTTTGTTCTTGAGTCAGACTGTTAGAATTGCGTTTGTTAATGAGTCAGACGGTTAGAAATGTGTTTGTTTTTGTGTCAGACGGTTACAATTGTGTTTGTTCTTGAGTCACACGTTTGGAGTTGTGTTTGTTCTTGAGTCAGACGGTTAGAAATATGTTTGTTCTTGAGTCAGACGGTAAGATTGTGTTTTTTCTTGAGTCACACGTTTGGAGTTGTGTTTGTTCTTGAGTCAGACGGTTTGAATTGTGTTTGTTCTTGAGTCAGACGGTTAGAGTTGTGTTTGTTCTTGAGTCAGATGGTTAGAGTTGTGTTTGCTCTTGAGTCAGACGGTTAGAGTTGTGTTTGTTCTTGGGTCAGACGGTTAGAGTTGTGTTTGTTCTTGAGTCAGACGATTAGAATTGTGTTTGTTCTTGAGTCAGATGGTTAGAGTTGTGTTTTTTCTTGGGTCAGACGGTTAGAGTTGTGTTTGTTCTTGAGTCAGATGGTAAGAGTTGTGTTTGTTCTTGAGTCATACGGTTAGAGTTGTGTTTGTCTTTGAGTCAGACGGTTAGAGTTGTGTTTGTTCTTGAGTCAGACGGTTAGAATTCTGTTTGTCAATGAATCATACGGTTAGATTTGTGTTTGTTCTTGAGTCAGTCGGTTAGAGTTGTGTTTGTTCTTGAGTCAGACTGTTAGAATTGCGTTTGTTAATGAGTCAGACGGTTAGAAATGTGTTTGTTTTTGAGTCAGACGGTTACAATTGTGTTTGTTCTTGAGTCATACGTTTGGAGTTGTGTTTGTTCTTGAGTCAGACGGTTAGAAATATGTTTGTTCTTGAGTCAGACGGTAAGATTGTGTTTTTTCTTGAGTCACACGTTTGGAGTTGTGTTTGTTCTTGAGTCAGACGATTTGAATTGTGTTTGTTCTTGAGTCAGACGGTTAGAGTTGTGTTTGTTCTTGAGTCAGACGGTTAGAGTTGTGTTTGTTCTTGAATCAGACGGTTAGTGCTGTGTTTGTTCTTGAGTCAGACGGTTAGAGTTGTGTTTGTTCTTGAGTCAGACGGTTAGAGTTGTGTTTGTTCTTGAGTCAGACGGTTTGAGTTGTGTTTGTTCTTGAGTCAGACGGTTAGAGTTGTGTTTGTTCTTGAGTCAGACGGTTAGAGTTGTGTTTGTTCTTGAGTCAGACGGTTAGAGTTGTGTTTGTTCTTGAGTCAGACTGTTAGAGTTGTGTTTGTTCTTGAGTCAGAAGGTTAGAGTTGTGTTTATTCTTGAGTCAGACGGTTAGAGTTGTGTTTGTTCTTGGGTCAGACGGTTAGAGTTGTGTTTGTTCTTGGGTCAGACTGTTAGAATTGAGTTTGTTAATGAGTAAGACGGTTAGAATTGTGTTTGTTCTTGAGTTAGACTGTTAGAGTTGTGTTTGTTCTTGAGTCAGATGGTTAGAGTTGTGTTTGTTCTTGATTCAGACGGTTAGAGTTGTGTTTGTTCTTGGGTCAGACTGTTAGAATTGCGTTTGTTAATGAGTAAGACGGTTAGAATTGTGTTTGTTCTTGAGTTAGACTGTTAGAGTTGTGTTTGTTCTTGAGTCAGATTGTTAGAGTTGTGTTTGTTCTTGATTCAGACAGAGTTGTGTTTGTTTTTGAGTCAGATGGTTAGAGTTGTGTTTGTTCTTGAGTCAGATGGTTAGAGTATTGATTTAAAAACACCAATTCGTTGGTAAAACGATGGATGAATGACTGTCGGCCCAGGTGAATGTTTGAAATGGATTATAAAACACACAAGGATTTTGTTGCAAATCGATTCAGACCCAACATCCAGGTGCACATGCGCCCGCTGTTTACGTCATTCGGAGCAAAGCGTTTTGTTTGTCACTTCTGTCTAATCTGTGGATAACAATCGTTGCAAAGAAAATACACATTACTTAACATATAACACAACCTTCCAAAAAACAACTACAAAAAGTTAACATACACACATACAAAAACATGCATCCTTCTGATTTTGTTTTTTAAAGAAGACTTATCCTACTTATCCTACTTATCCTACTTTCTTCGGTAAGTTCATTTTCATTTATTTTTCCTTTACCAGCCAAAATTGATGAATAGTTGCTTTCAGCTCACTCGTTGTGAGAGGAGTAATTTTTTAGGAGGGTTTCTTTATAGACGCGAGGTGGTAGCGGACAGACACACTTTGATAGGGAAGAGACCGACACACTTTGGTGGAGAAGAGACAGACCCTCTTTGGTGGGGGAGAGACAGACACACTTTGGTTGAGGAGAGACAGACCCTCTTTGGTTGGGGAGAGACACACTTTGGTGGAGGAGAGACAGACCCTCTTTGTTTGGGGAGAGACAGACACACTTTGGTGGAGGAGAGACAGATCCTCTTTGTTTGGGGAGGGACAGACACACGTTGGTGGAGGAGAGACATGCCCTCTTTGGTTGGGGAGAGACAGACACACCTTGGTGGAGGAGAGACAGACCCTCTTTGGTTGGGGAGAGAAAGACACACCTTGGTTGAGGAGAGACAGGCCCTCTTTGGTTGGGGAGAGACAGACACAGCTTGGTTGAGGAGAGACAGGCCCTCTTTGGTTGGGGAGAGACAGACACACTTTGGTGGAGGAGAGACAGACCCTCTTTGTTTGGGGAGAGACAGACACACTTTCGTGGAGGAGAGACAGACCCTCTTTGTTTGGGGAGGGACAGACACACCTTGGTGGAGGAGAGACAGACCCTCTTTGTTTGGGGAGAGACAGACACACTTTGGTGGAGGAGAGACAGACCCTCTTTGTTTGGGGAGGGACAGACACACTTTGGTGGAGGAGAGACAGAACCTCTTTGGTTGGGGAGGGACAGACACACTTTGGTGGAGGAGAGACAGACCCTCTTTGTTTGGGGAGAGACAGACACACTTTGGTGGAGGAGAGACAGACCCTCTTTGGTTGGGGAGAGACAGACACACTTTGGTGGAGGAGAGACAGACCCTCTTTGGTTGGAGAGAGACCGACACACTTTGGTGGGGGAGAGACAGACCCTCTTCGGTTGGAGAGAGACAGACACACTTTGGTGGGGGGGGAGACAGACACACTTTTCGTTTTCTTGCTTGAATCTGCGCCATAAGCATTGTCTTTATTCTTTTTGTCCAAATCTTATTTTACAATTATTTAACGCGAATTTATTACAGTCGTATATTATTTACTGTAAATTCTAGCATTTTACATTAATCTTCGACTATGGAGCGAATAGGCTGCTCTGCCTGCGGCTCGAATTCAAAGATGTCTCAAATTGACATGTCAACAAATTCTTACAAAAACGTTGACTTAATCTCACACACACACACACACGTTTAGTGACAGAAGCTTAGAACTTGACAGTCTGGACACAAATTAGCTAAAACACATAATTATTGTATTTGATGCCAAACAAGGACGGATCCACAAATGTTTTTATATTCTTTGCAACATGAGTTTTTCTAAGGTACGTGGGGAAAAAAGCTTAAAGTATATAAGCTCTCGTACAGCCCAATTACAACCCCACTAAAACTAGTCCAACCGAATAACTCACATAATACAGTTTTTACAACGAAATCGTTATTTTATCGAAAGTTTTCCTACTTTAAAAAAAAAAAATTAATTAAAAAATCACAGGAAATCTCATAAAGCAGAGACCCGCTACTAACGAGATCAGATTTTATGGATATCAATTGCATGACGGTGAGGTTTCACTGTGTTATCAATGAATCACAAACAATTTATGTCAAGAAAACAATATAGGT